CTCTCCTTGGCTGACAGGTTATACTTATGTTGCACAAACCTTTTTCGTTATATTAACAATGATTGGACTTTTTCTGGACAGACCTCATACATATATATGTGTGTGTGTGTATATATATATATGTATTTATATACATATATATTTTGAAACATGCGAATAAAAACACTGGAAGAAAAGTGGGTGTCCTGAACCAGGGAAACCAACCCAGGGTAGAAAGTGTCCTTGTTGATGGCTGCACAGCCATAGTCTCCTTCTCTCCTAGCAACTGGGCTAGGCTGGTGGGTATTGGGCTCCCTAGGCATAAAACTTAACAGGATGGCCTGGAGGAAGCTCCAGAAGAGTCCACCCAACAGGCCAGAGGTGTCTGACTGAACCTAGGATGCTTGCAGCCAACCCCTCCCTGAGGCTGTACCCGGAGGATATGGGTCCCTAACTTTGCACTAACTTCTGGAAGCCTCGCTGACACTGAATGGCCAGGCCCAGCCCTGGGAAGGAAGGAGAGTGCTGGACTGTGATGGCTGTAAGAGTTTGTCTTAACTCTGGCAGGGGAAGAGATAGGTTGCTGGGGGACATAATACTTTGAGAAGGGCAAGAAGGGCAAGATTTGAGGGCCACCTCATTGTATTCCACTCCTGAGAATGGGAAGGGGTACCCCCAACCCCCACCCCCCAAAAAGAATGTAAGAATGAATACAGGAGGTGTGTTTGAGATCTGTAAAATTCGTGGCTCAGTTGGAAAGGAGCATGCATGGTGTTTTCCTGGCCAGTTCCCTGTTCTAATTTAACTATTTACATAAAAGCTGTAAAATGAACTTGCAAGGTAAATAACAACTCCCCTGGAGCAGCATCTCACACACTGATCCAGCTGTTACCTGAGATAAATTTCAGAGCACACACCTGGTAAGCAGCAGAGAGAGTACTTTCTAATATGTAAAAAGGCGAAAGTGAAATGTTAATGTTAAATATGTCTCTGGTGGTAAGCGCCATCTGCCCCTTAGTAAGTTTCCTTAAGAGCGGGGTTTCATTAATAGCATCTAGCAATAATAACTCCAAAATAGTCAGCATTTTGGAGTTATTACCCAGAATGAGGACACTCTGGGGCAGGTACTTTTCTGAGTTTTGCTTAATATTCATGTTGATGGTGTACTTAGCTATAGTTACTCAGTAAATATTTATCAAAGATCTTTTAAAAAACTATTAAAGATATAAAAGATATTCAGGAAGAAAAAATTACAGTTTCTTCAGGACTTCCACCGAGATGGAGGCATAGGTGGAAACCCTGTGCATTCTTGCACAACCAAGTCTAAAAACAACAAAGTTTTAGCAACAAAAAACGCAGCCAAACCACAAAAAATTGAACAAAACGGAAGTCCGAAAATAATGAACCACTCGGCCAGACCGGTAAGAGGGGTGGAGCCAGCAGCGGAGTGGGTCGGGCAAAAGAAGATCCCCTGACCCAGGTGTGTAGGCAGCCATGGGCGGATCCCAGGTGTGGGGTAGCAATGGGTGGACCTAGTGAAGGTGCAAGGCAGCAGGCTGACCGTGGTCACATATTTGCGGGCAGATACCAGCGAAGGAGCGAGCAGTGAGACAGACTGGGAAAGCCCCAGTGGTGGGAAGCAGCCCCCACATACAGCATCACAAACCAGCAACCTGGGTGGCCCTGCCCTGGTGAACACCTAAGGCTCTGCTCCTCATACGTAACAGGTGCGAACAGATCAAAACATGGCTCAAGAAGAACTCAGAGCCCCAGAGCCAATAAATCTAAGTGAACAAGAAATTGCCAAACTGCCAGAGGCACAGTTCAAAACATTGGTAATCAGGATGCTCACAGAACTGGTTGATTTTAGCCACAAACTAGAGGAACATATGAAGGCTAAACTAATTGAAATGAAGGGAAATGCACAGGAAAGTAATAGTGATGGAAAGGAAACTGGGACTTAATTCAAGGGAGTGGAACAGAAGGAAGAAAAAAATGACCAAACAGAAAAATATGAAGAAACAAGAATTCAAAAAACTGAGGAGAAGCTAAGGAACCTCCAGGACATCTTTAAATGCTCTAACATCTGAATTATAGGGGTACCAGAAGGGGAACAGAAACAGCAAGTGGAAATCTTATTTGAACAAATAATAAAAGAGAACTTCCCCAATCTGGCAAAGGCAATAGACTTCCAGGAAATCCAGAAAGTTCAGAGAGTCCCAAACAAGTTGGACCCAAGAAGGAACACACCAAGGCACATCATAATTATATTAGCCAAGATTAAAATGAAGGAGAGAATCCTAGAAGCAGCAAGAGATAAGGGGACAGTCACCTACAAAGGAGTTCCCATCAGACTGTCAGCAGATTTCTCAAAAGAGACCTTACAGGCAAGAAGGGGCTGGAAAGAAGTATTCCAAGTCATGAAAACCAAAGACCTACAACCAAGATTGCTCTATCCAGCAAAGCTTTCATTTAGAATGGAAGGACAGATAAAGTGCTTCTCAGATAAGATCAAGTTCAAGGAGTTCATCATCACCAAGCCATTATTATATGAAATGTTAAAGGGACTTATCTAAGAAAAAGAAGATAAAAAATATGAACAGTGAAAGGACAGCAAACTCACAGTTATTAACAACCACACCTAAATCAAAAGCAAACTAAGAGGACAGCTAGATCAGGAGCAGAACCATAGAACTGAAGGTCATATGGAGGGTCAGCAACAGGGGAGTGGGAGAAGGAGAAGGGGGGAGGGGGAGAAGGTACAGAAAATAAGTAGCACAGACGATAGGTAGAAAATAGATAGGGGGGAGGGCAAGAATAATATGGGAAATATAGAATCTAAAGAACTTGAGACATATGGTCATAAACTAAAGGGGGGAATGGTGGGGGAGGGGTGTGCAGGGTGGAGGGGAATGAAGGGGTGGAATAGAACAACTGTAATGGCATAATCAATACAATATATTTTAAAAAAAGAAAAAATTACAAACCATTATTCTAATGAATATAGATGTAAAGATCCTTAAGAAGTAGTACAAAATTGAATCCAACAATATATTAAAAAGACCAATATCATAACCAAGTGAGGTTTATTCAGGAATGCATAAGTTAGTTAAATGCATAATGTTTGAAAACCATTCAAAGTAATTGACCATTATTAACAATATTAAAAAGAAAAATCCTATGGTCACTTCAACAGATGCAGAAAAAATTTTAACAGAATTTAGTATCCTTTGGTAACAAAAAAAAAGTAGCCCAGGAAACTAAGAATATAGGGAAATTATGTCCTTTATCTGATAAAAAGCATTTACTGAGAAATCTACAGACAGCATAATTAATCATGAAAGACTGAATGCTTTCTTCCTCTTCCTGAGACTGGGAACAGCAGCCCTGACTAGCGCGTCTCTCTTGGTTGGGCATCTTCCTGCAAATCCAGGGTCACCAGTTCCCTGCATCTATACTGCACAGGCCTGGGTTGAGGGTGTGGTCTCCAGGCAGGTGTATACGAGAGGCAACCAATCAATGTTTCTCTCTCACACCAATGTTTCTCTCCATATTTTCCTCCCTCCCTTCCCCTCTCTCTAAAAATAAATAAAATCTTAAAAAAAAAAAACAGATTCAGAACAACACAAGGATGCTCATTTCACCATTTTAAGTCAACATTGTATTAGACATCCTAGCCAGAGAAATAAGGCAAGGGAAAAAGTGCACTTTGGAAAGAAGGAAGTGAAACTCTCCATTAGCAGACAACATGATTACTACATTTAAGTTTATTCTTAAGAAATCTAAAACAAAAAAAGGGGTGGGATAAAGGGGAAAAATTGGGAAAACTGTAATAGTATAATCAATAAAAAATGCTTAAAAAAACCAGAAATCTAAAAACAACCACTAGAACTATAACTGAATTTAGCAAGATCACAGGATATTAAGTCAATATACAAAGCCAATTATATTTGTCTGTTATAGCAGCAAACAACTGGAAAATGAAATAATTCTATTTACAATAGCATTAAAACCATAAAATATTTAGAAATACATTTAACAAAATATGTAGAAGACCTCTATGCTGAAAGCTACAAGTTAAAAAAGATTCAAATAAATACAGCAGTACGAGTATACAGTGTTTGTGCACTATAAAACTTAAGGTTGTTAAGATATTTATTCTTTTTTTTTAAGATTTTTTATTTATTTATGTTAGAGGAGAAGAGAAGGAGAGAGGGAGAGAAATATCAATGTATGGTTGCCTCTCATGCATCCCCTGCTGGGACCTGGCCTGCAACCCAGGCATGTGCCCTGACTGGGAATCGAACTGCGATCCTTTGGTTCACAGGCCTGCGCTCAATCCACTGAGCTACACCAGCCAGGGCTAAGATATTTATTCTTTATAAATTCTACAGAAATTAACAGGATGATTATTAAAAAATAACTTTATTTGGGGATAATTTGAGGTTTACATAAAAATTACAAAAATAGTAGAGTTTTTGTATACCTCTCACTGAGCTTCCTGTATGTTAACATCTTACATATACTAGCGTACATTTGTCAAAACTTAGAAATCAAAATGGTACATTACTGTTACTTTATCTGGATCTAATCCAGGATATGACATTGCATTCACTTGTTGTGTCTCCTTAGTCTACTTGAGGCTGTGACAATTGACAATTTCTCAGTGTTGCCTTGTTTGTTTGTTTAAAATGAGTATGACTGTTTTCAGAGGAATACTGGTCAGATGTTTTGTAGAATGTCCCTCATGTTTTTCTCATGCATAGACAGGGGTTTGAGTTATGGGGAGACATACCATAGAGGTGAAGTGTCCTCCTTATCACATACCAGGGGGTACATGCTACCAACATGATTTATCTCTGGTTATGTAACCTTGATCACTTGATTTAACAAGCTGGGTTTTTTTCTTTATCACAATGAAAAATCACAATTTTGCTATTTAGGTCACACATTACATCTTGACACATATTGTTTCTTCCGAGCTAATCAAAGGGTGCGAGGCCACCCACCAGGGCACCACACAAAATATGGAACGCATCATGAATTTGCAGGTCATCCTTGCCCAGGGGCCATGCTAATCTTTTCTGTATTGTTTCAATTTTAGTATATATGCTGCCAGAGTGAGTACTCAACAAGTTGGTTTTTAAATTTATGTGGAAATTCCAAGCGTCTAGAATAGCAGAAACAATTTTGAAAGGTAAGAGTTGAGCTGTAGGATCTACATCACCTGACTTCAAGCTTTACTACAAAGCAATAGTAATCAAGACAGTGCGAAATTGTCATAAGGATAGACAAATCACTGGAACAGAAGAGAAAGTTCAGAAAAAGACCCACACTGACATGGTCAATCAATTTTAAACAAAGACATAAAAACAATTCAGTGGGGAATCGTGCTTTCATCAAATAGTGTTAGAACAAGTGGGTGTCCACTTGGAAAGCTGCCTAACATGGCCGAGTTTGTGAGTGGTAGGGACAGGATTCCAAACCACACTTCCCGGTTACTGTGTTATAAATTTTAAATATGAATTTATAATCACTACATATAGGCCACAATATTTTTCTGAATCAAATTTAATTTGAGGCCATACTTTTCAAAAATGTCAATGTCATGAAAGAAAAGAAAGGCTGATGAAATGTACCTTATTAAAGGAGACTAAGGGCACAGGGCACGTAAACAAGTGCATTGCATGGTTCTGGACTGGATCCCGGATCACAAAGACACACTAAAAGTTCACAAAGGACATTATTATAATAATTGGAAAATGATATGGACAGCATGTTAGTTAATAGTTTTGCGTAAATGTTAAATTCCCTGAATTTAAAAATTATACTGGGGTTATGTAAGAGCATTTTTTTTTAAATTCTTAGAAGATAATTATTTCGAGGTGAAGGGTCATGATAACTGCAACTTATTCTGAAATGATTTAACATTATTAACAAAAATAATAAACACTGAAGAAATCAAATATGGAAAAGTATTAAGAACTGGTGAATCTAAATTAGAATTATACAGGAGTTCATTGTATTATTCTTTCCACTTACCTGTTTGAAATTCTACTGTACAACAGAAATTTAAATATTAATTAAAAAACACTTTGATCCTAATTCCACTGACCATGATTGTGACAAATTCAGTCTCAGGCATTTATGGGGGTGTTCTCCTCTCCCCTGGGGTTCTACATGGTACAAAACATTCAGGAAGGGCCCTCAAGCTTTCAGCCCACATTGGTCACTGAAAGGTCTATTGTATTGCAGAGCCGACAAGCCTCCAGGCTAGGGCTCAAGCTCGTCTGCTGGCTGGGAGTCTTGGCACCGAGAGTCCAATCTCCCTGCATGCACCACGTAGTCCTCCCCCTCCAAGGCCCTGTCACTTGCTCAGATCCCTTTGAGGAAGCTTGTGGCATCAGTACTACTGGAGGAATCCCTTCTACTTTTCTCTGAGAAAGACCGATTTTGCTTTTGTGGTATTCCATGTATATTAACCTCCTCCTTCTGTTGCTGAGTGTTTGTTCCAGGCTATCCTCTTGGGGCCTTAAAAAAACACAATGGGACTCAGTTTCCTAGAAGCGGAAGTAGAAAAAGAAATGCTGTGTAATTTTACTAATACATTGCATGAGCAATAAGTACATTGCATTGCATATCTAACATGCTTCAAAAAAAACTTCAGTGTTTTGTGGGGTTTTTTTTTGTGTGTGTGTGTCTTAAAATGATGTCTTAGTATTTCTCATGATTCTGTTGGTTGACTGAGCATTTCTGCTGATTTAGCTTTACTCACTCATGTGTTTGCATTCAGCTGACAAGTTGATTAGGGGGTGGGCTCAGCTGAGACAGCATTTAAATGGCTGGCTCCTTAATCCCAGGCTTCTTTGCAGCATCATGATCTTGGGGTAATGTCCTAAGATGGTGGAGATGGAAACTTTAAGGCCTCTTGAGGTCTAGATTTTGTAATTTGTGCAGCACCACTCCTGTTACAATCTCTTGATGAAAATAACAAGGCAAGCCAAGAGTCAAGTTGAGGAAGAGACTCCATGTCTGGAAGGTAGGGAATCTGCCCTTTTAACATAGTCTCTTGAAGGGACTCATATACACCAGAGGTGTTATGTGTTCAGAGCTGTTTCTCATTGCATTTGGTACAAGTCTGTATTTGTAGTACTGAGACTTATATACTGCATATGTAAATGTTTTTTGTTTATTTCAGAGGGCTCACCTATCCCTAGAGCTTATCACACCACTTGTGACCCAGTAAATATTTCTAAAATGAATGCAGATATTTGAATCTGCATTCACAAATTGCAGATTCCACAAATTAGAATTTGTGGTATATCCTAAGAATCATTTGGGTTTCTTCTTATAGTTTCAATCTAGTAAGAGAGATGAATGTGGAAAGTTATGATTTTAAAAACAGGGGTTTCCTGAAACAGTACTATGCTTAAGTAGTATAAGGTGATGGAACCATTGGAGCTCAGAGTGGTAGGAGAGTTTGTGAAAAAGGAAGAATTTGGGGAGGAGCTTGACAGGGGAGTAAGCATGGGAAGGAAGAGGATATCTTAAGTGGATGAGCCTGGTATGACCACAGCTGTGAGTTTATTACCAGCAGGTTTAGAAGTCAGTGACTGGTGCACAAGGCTTATAAAAGGGAATGATGTAAATTAGTAGTCAAGGAAGTTGGGGAGGGATTGTGGAGAGCCTTGGAGAGTGATTTGATGAAACTATTTCACCACGAGCAATCCGTCTGTTGTAATGGCAGTTAAAATGATTAGCTCACAACATTGCACATTAACCAAACTTGGAATTCCAAAATGCTGGGGACCTCCAGCCCCTGACAGTTGAGGCAATCTCTATTTTAGAGAACATAGAAACAAACTTAGTGTACATATATTCTGATCACCAAAGAATTCATTAAAAAAATCAATCCTCCCTCCAGTTTTATTGAGATATAATCGACATATGACAAAATCAGGTACTTAATAGCAGCAGAAACTTGGGATATTCCACACTCTACTCTTTACCTTGTCCCAAGGCTTCAGGCCAGCCTGTACACCTTTTCTAACACCGCCTTTTCATTTATATATTGACTGCTATGTGCCAGGAGCCCTGCAGATGCCCTCTCTTATTTAATCGGCCACATTTCTCTATAACAATGATTTTCAACCTTTTCATCTCATGGCACACATAAACTACTAAAATTCTGCGGCACACCAAAAAATACTATATTTTTTTCCAATCTGACAAAAAAAATTGGTATAATTTTGATTCATTCACACCAGATGGCTATTGTTGTGTCCCTATTTTTTTTAAGTTTGACAGTCTAAGGGAAAAGAGGTCAGTGCCTTTGACTAGTCAGCTCTTACATGTTTTAAAAATTCTTGAGGCACACTGGTTGGAAATCTGTGCTCTATACAGTAGAAGTTTTCATGCCCATTTGACTAGTGAGGAAACTGACCCTTAGGGGGGATTCACCTGGTCTCATGCAAAGTAAAAGGACGTAAACCTGGGGCTAGAATGCAGGCCGCATAGGCGGTGGGGGCAAATGAGCTCATCACGACTCAGGGAAGAGGAAAAGGAAAAATGGAGACTCAGACCCTTCTTTCAGGACTTTGCAGGTCTGCACGCCAGTGAAGGGGAAACTTCAATTGCGTGACATCAGTCGACGAGTCCCCACTAGGCACCTTTCCAAAATCACGGTATCTAATTGGCGAGATTGGAGAGCATGGGTGACTCTGATTGGCTAGGTGGACCTCGAACCAGGCCCACGTACTGACGAACAGTAGGGGAGTAGGCGGGACTTGAAACTGAATCCCTTGTCTCATTGGTAAAAAGAAAATGAACTAGGAACTATTCGGAAGCATGATTGGCTGTTGCCAGGAACCCTCCAACTGCCTTATGGGTCCTGGTTACGGAAGCCGGGGAAGGCTGAGAGCACAGTCTACCTGAAGGAGTTAGCTGCCAAAACGTGGATAGAAGTGTAGAACCGGTGTCTCAGGCCTAATGGCGACTGTGGGCGCAAGCGGCAACGATGGGAAAGGGCAAGGGGTGGAGACCCCTGTCACCTATTTCCGTTTGGAGGAGGTAGCGCAGCGGAACACCTCGAAGGAGACGTGGCTGGTGATCCACGGGCGAGTCTACGATATCACCCGATTCCTTAAAGAGGTGGGGTGAGGGGGGGACCCGGAGGTGGGCAGCCCCTTGGAGCAGCTGGGTGAGGGGTGGTCGGGCCCGGAAAGGCCGAGAGGCTGTGTGTTAGGAGGGAGATGATGTCTGGCTGAGGGCGATCAAGCCTACGAAAGGGGCCACAGCTGTCTCAGGGAAACTGGGGTGGGGGTTACGCATGCCTGCGTTTCCAGTCAGCACTAAATTCTGGTGCTTTTAAGTAATAGCCTGTGTCAGTTATGTATTGGGCGCTTACTGTGTGCTAGGCTGAACACTAAGCCGTTATGATCTCCATTTTAGTGAAAGGATAACGGTCTCAGAGAGACTGAGGACTCAAGATCACACACTTAACATTCTAGAGTCATTCCAACCTAGTTTCGAAGGGCTCCAAACCTCTGCTCTTCCCACTCTGCCTTCTGAAGTAATTAATGCCTTTTTTTCCCATTTTCTTGATAAGAAACTGGGGTTCACTGCTCCCTCATTATGTTGCGTTTATTTTTTTCTAGTTTGAGTTGACTTTGAGGCCATAGGGTCATAGGCTAATCTGACCCTTTTTGGTTCTTTGGCCATTGACTTAGTCATCCTTTAAATCGTTAAGGTGTTACATTAGACTTCATTACATAAGTTCTTTTCGGGCCATGGTACAACTGATTTTTTTTTTCAATTTAAGGAAACAGGAAAGACGTTTAATTTGTTTAAACTAACTTTACTGAGGTGTAATTTGCATTCAATAAAGTGTGCTCAGTAAACCGTACAGTTTGATGAATTTTGACAATGTATTCACCCAGGTGATCACAACCTCTTTCCACCACTCTGTAAAGTTGCCTCTTGTTCATTTGCAGTCATTCTCTCCACCCCTAATCCTTGAGGCTTTGATATGTTTATGTATGAACATTTACTATATATTACATATTGATTTGTATCATTTTATTTTTGAGTAATATTGATAGATTAAGAACCGTGTGGTTAATTCCCTGGAAATATTTGTACAATGTAACCTTATTGTAACTGAGAAAAAATTCCACTTCCATTCTTTCTCTGAAGTGAATACTCGTATACAAATACATAAAAAATATAAAAATATTTTTTCTATGAATTTGGGGTCTAGGGCAGAATTCTCTACATCCTGGATCATAAATCCATAAAAACTTTTAAAATATAAAATTTCCAAAAAAGACATTGTTTTTAAATCTTCCTAGTGGCCAATGAGTTAGTATCATAAAGTTTAGTTGTATAATGTATGACATTTTATGTTTTAAAAAGTACTCTTTCATTATTTCATCCTAATATAACTAGCTGAGAGTGCCTTGGATGGTGGTGATCCTGTTTTTCACAGGGCTACAAGAAACAGGTTCAGAGATTTTGGTCATTGCAGTTGATCAGTGGAAGAGTCTGGTTTAGGTAGATTTTTGTCTACATAGATTTCTTCATATTTAGATTTCTCTTGTCTCCATGGTGATACTTCAGAATTCTAGCCTTAGCTATGTCCTTTGGTGTATGCCTCATAAATAAGTTTCAGTTGTGGGTTGCAGCATAGTTCATAATGACTAGGTAAAAATGTGGTTTTTTGGTGGTTTTATTGTCCCCAGATTTCTCAGGAACATTCAGTGCTCTTAGGGGACATTAATTCAAACTTGAGTCATGGTTGCTAACCTGGTTTACTACATGCTGATAGAGCCAGTGACATCGCAGGTGTGCCAAGGCTTCCCTTGAAACTTGAGCTGTGGATCTTTACCTGCAGTTAGTCATTTGACTTACCCATTCTGTGGTTTCTGCCCTGTTTTCCTATTCATTCCAAGCCTATTCATTCATTCACTCTTTCATATACTATGTGTGTGCTATGTGCCTGGTACTGTTCTAGGTGTTGAAGATACCACAATGGATAATTGAACACATGCCTTCATGGAGATTACAGTCTATGGGAAGTTGACAGTAATTAGAGTAAAAAACTAAAATATATGCTATGTTAGGTAATGGTAAGTGCTAAGGAGAAAAATAAAGCAGAGAACAGTATGTGTGTATGGAGTGAGAGTATGAGGATGATGTGTTGAAATTTTAGGTATAAGGCCAGTGATGGCCTTATAAAGATGACTCGAGTAAAGGCCAGCAGAAATTAAGGGAGCTAGCCATGTGGATATCTGCTGGAAGAGCATTTTTGGCAGAGGGAGCAAGTTCAAAGACCTTGAAATAGGAATATGTGTGGTGTGCTTAAGGAATAGTGTGGAAGGTCATAGTGGCTGTATTGCAGTAGACAAGTTCAGTAGACGAGATCATGATCAAGGGATAGCAGATCAAGTTGTAAAACAAACTTTGCAAGTTTTAGAAAGGATTTTGACTTCTGTTCTGAGAAGGGAAACCACAGTAGAGTTAAGGAGTGACATGAGGTAACTTAGTGGTTTAATAGTACCATCAGATTGCACCCTTGAGAAGAAACTGCAGGAGGGCAAGGGCAGGATTGAGAAGCCGTGTAGTGAGGAGGCTAGGTAAGATATGGTGTAGCTTGGGCCAGGGTGGTGAGAAGTATCAGGTTTTGGATGTGTTGTAATGGTGGAGCCAATAGGATTTAATGGTGCATTGGATTTAAGGAGTAAGAGAGAAAGTGTCAAGGATGATACCAAAGATTTTGGCCTACAGGTCTGGAAGAACAGGGTTTCTATTAGTTGGGAAGGACTTAAGGAATTAGGTTTGTTTTACCACCAACTTCTTTCACATTTTAAACATAATTTGGAAGGATTAGGTTTGTGATATAGGGAAATTAGAACAGTTACCAATTTTCTGGAACTCAGCTTATTTTAAAAAATTTTTGACTATGTTATACAGTATACAGTAAAAAGCCTTCCCTTCTACCTAAAGTTGACTAATACTGTTTGTATATCTTTCTGGAGTTTTGTTTTGTTTTGTATATATAAGCAAAAGTGAACATAGTCCCTCCGACTGTTTTTTAACACACAAGGTAGTATACTGTACACACTAATCTGTGCCTTGCTTATTTACTTAACTGTACATAGAGAAAGAGGTGGGAGGAGAGAGAAAGAGAAACTTTGATGTGAGAGAGTCATCAAATATCAACTGGTTGCCTTTTGTATGCACCCTGACTGGGTAATCAAACCCACAACCTAGGTATGTGCTTTGACCAGGAATTGAACCAGTGATCTTTTCATGTCCGGGATGCTGCTCCAACCAAGACACCTGGCCAGGGCTAAAATGTGCAGATTTTATATGGAGAGTTCACTGAGTTTTGACAAGTCTCACCCATGTAATCATTATCCCAGTTAATACATAGAACACTTCTACGGCCTTTGCCCTCATGCAACCATTGATTTGATTTCTTACACTAGAAAACTACATACACTCTTTTGTGTCTGGCGTCTTTTGCTTAATAGATCTGTTTTACATAGGGTTTTTCTGTGTATCAGCAATTTGTTCCTGTTTTTTACTTTTTATTTCATTGTATATTCTAAAACTTATTTATCTATTAATCTATTGATTAACATTTGAGTTGTTTCCATTATTTTGGCTATTATGAATAAAGCTGCTCTGAACCATGTGCAAATTTTTGTTTGGATATTTGTTTTCATTCCTCTTTTGTAAATATCTAGGTGTGAGGTTGCTGGGTCATTTTTTTAAAAACTTTTAAAGCAACAGCCAGACCTTTCCCCAAAACGTCTACATTATTTACAGTCCCACCAGTAATATATGAGTTTTCCAGTTTCTCCACATCATCATTGACACATGGTATTTTTCATTTTACTTTTAGCCATTTCAGTGTTCCTAGTGGTTGTGTACTGGCATATAATTAGGGTTTTAACTTGCATTTTGCAGATGACTAATGTTAAGTATTTTTATGTGCTGATTGGCCTTTTGTATGTCTTTGTAAGGTGTCTGTTCAGTCTTGCCCATTTTTAATTGGGTTGTTTGTTTTCTTATTGACTTCAAAGTGTTCTTTGTATATTCCAGATGCAAATCCTTTCAGATACACGTATTGTAAATATATTCTTCCAATCTGTATTTTGCCTTTTCACTTTCTGAACAGTGTCTTTTGAAGAGAATTTTGGTAAATTGTATATATGAAATAAAATTCTAGCCCCTGCCAAGTAGCTCAGTTAATTTGAGCATTGTCCCGATACATCATGGTTGTGGGTTCAAGCCCTGGTCAGGGCACATTCAAGAAGCAACCAATGGATGCAGGGATAAGTGGAACAACAAATCGATGGTCCCCTCCCTCCCTCTCTCCCCCTTCATCTCTCTCTCTGTAAGAAAAAAATAAACTAAAAAGGAGTTCTAGAGCCTGGGTGCTAGCTTTGGGTTTTATGCCTGGTTCAGTTTCCTACTTCACCACTTAATAGTTATGTAACCTTGGGCAAATAAGCTCTGTAAAAGGCCCCACCCATCTATAAGATGGAGATGATAGTACCCACTTCACAGGGTTGTTATTGGGAGAGCTAATTTAGTTAATATATAAAGACTTACCAAGGTTCCTGGTATAAAGAGCTCGGTATCCCTGGCTGGGTAGTTCAGTTGGTTGGAGTGTTGTCCCGATATACCAGGGTTGTGGGTTCCATCCCCAGTCAGAGCACAGACAACAATCAACCAATGAATGCATCAATAAGTGGAACCAACAAATCAACAAATTGATGTTTTTCTGTCTCCTTTCTCTCTCTCTCAAATCAATCAATAAATTTAAAAAACAAACAAACAAAAAAACCCTTAAAAACAAAGAGCTTAGTAAAACTTAGTGGTTTTATTATTAATAAAATATATTTCCCAGAAGCATCTTTTGAGTGCTTACTAAGTAGTAGATGCTGTGGAGATTTAAAGGTGAATTAGCTGCCTTGGATTTGCAGGGTGAGATCTGTGCACAAGTAATTGCCATGCAAGGTAGAGTGTGGACTTGTCTCCAGAAAGAGTGGGAATGCAGGCTGTTTGGTGCAGCCCTAGAATAACCCTGCAAGGGTCAAGAGTTTGACTAATAACAATTCTTACTGGATTTCACCAAGGCT